GGGAAGAAGGTGGGCAGGCAGGCAAAGCTGGCGGTGGGGATCCCAGGCATTCGGAGGGAGGGGGAGGGGAGAGGGGGGAGGTCTTCCCAGCAGAACTCCTCCCAGGGAACTTTGGGCTTTCCCGAGTCCGAGACGTCCCAGAGCATCTCGCGTGGCACAAGGCACACCTGACTCCCCCCACAGGCTGCAGAATTCCCCCCCCTCCTTGCCGAGGGTACAAAAGCAGGGGACCGCAGCCACTTACGGTTCTCCTCCTGGCTCTGCCCGGGGCTTCCCTTGGGGGGGTGGCTGTCGTTGTCCACAGGGGAGCTGCACCTGGGAGCCGCTTCGGAGCTGCAAGGGAAAAGCCGGCCTCTGGGCTGGAGGGCTGCAGGCCATGGGCCAGAACCCTGCAGCAGCTCCGGGTCAGGCAGGCACTCTGGGCAGCCCTGAGAAACAAAATGCCGCCTCCTCCCCCCCCAGTTTTTTGCCCCAGGAGAGAGACAAAATCTCGGCCTGCACTGCTCACAGGGCAGCCATTCGAAGGGAAGAGCCGAGAGACGGCTGCCTAGGCCCTCGGTTGGGGGTCTCCGTCAGGAAGCCCCCTGCGAGAGCAATGGCGCTCTGCTTGCTCCCACACCTTCACCCCTGCTGCCCTCACCTGCCCCACCCAGAGGGGCAAGGCAGGCTGGGTCACGCTTCTTCCCTTGGCTGAAACGGCGGCTGAGACACAGCTCCCAAGACTGCGCTTGGTCCGCCCTGAACTCGGGAAAGGGCCCAGAGGGAGGGAGGGAGGGAGGGAGGGGGGCAGAAAGCCAGGGGGTGGCCGGGAGGGGCGAAGGCAGGGGCTGGGAATGGCTGGGAATGGCTGGGACACCCTCTGTCCAAACTGGCACACAGAGGGACGGAGGGGCCTCCTCCACGCCCAAGTGCCTGCGTTCCCCCTCCTCCGTTTCAGAGCACCCCCCAAATTCCTTTCCGCCACCGGGAATGAACCGCTGCAGCCGGCGGGCCCTCCTGGCCTGAGCCTTTCTGGGCCTGCCAAGCGGCTGTGGCTGGGCGTCCTCCGGTCTGCTTACCAGCAGAAGGGCTGGAAGTCCGGGAACTTGGCCCAGCCTCGCTCTTCGGCAGCCTTCGTGCCGGGTGTTACGGAATCCCACACGCTGGACCCGATATCTGTGGCCACCCAGGAGGCCGGAGGCTTGGACTTCAAGGGCTCAGCTGCCGTCCTCCACCCAGACCCTGCAAGACACAAGGGCCGCAGTGCTGTCCGGCAGGAGCTGCAGTGGTCAGCGACTCCGTCAGGAAGCCCAGGAGAGCTCAGTTGGCAGAAAGGGCCCCACCCCACCCACCCCCGCAGCTGCAGGACCAAGGCTGCCTTCGCAGGGGAGGCCGGGGTTCTGCCCATCCCACAGACCCAGCAGCCCTCGGTGCTGCAAGGAATGCGGGGGGCTGGAAGGAGGGTTCACGGGGCTCCCCTCACGGCTCTCCTGGACCCAATCTGGGAACGTGGGAAGTCAGCCAGCATCCTTTCCAAATCTGTTGCCTCACCCTTCACCCTTCGCTGTTCTGCGCGGCCTTTTTAGCCGCTTAGTTCCCGCGCTCTCTGGGGCTGGCTGGAGCCAGGATGTGACCCTCTGCCTGGCTCCCAAGGCCAAGGGCCTCCTCGGCTCCTGCCTCAGGGGAAGACGGCAGCCACGCCTGGGCGACTCTGACCAAGGGCTGGGCAAAGATCGTGAGTTCAATGGGGGAAGCCAGGGGGGGCATAAGAAGTCAGCTGCCACGTGTTTTGCACCGCCAGTTTCTCGCGATAACGAAGGCCTTGAAAGCCATTCACACTCCCGCACTATCCGAAGGGCCTTCCTCCCACGGGGATCCTCCACCCTCCAGGTCGTGCTGGTCCCAAAGGTGCTTTTCCAAAAGGCAACCAGAGGTTCTTGGTTTCTTTCCTTGGAGATGTTTCGCTTCTCATCCAAGAAGCTTCTTCAGTTCTTCTTGGATGCAAAGCGAAACCTTTTTGAGGAAAAACCCGAGAAAGTCCAGTTGCTTTTTGGAAAAGCACCTTTGGGACCTTGAAAACTAGATGCTGGTTCTGACAGCTCTTCCGTTGTATCAGTGTCAAATACGAGGGGCTTGCCTAAATCTTGGTTTCGCTCTTTCTTAGAAAGTGTCTCACAATTAAGCCCAAATCCAGGCTTCCAGCTGGCAGAAATGGATTTTCAGTTTTGTGAAAGGAAGTAAAGGAAGATGGAAAACCCCAACATTCCAGGAGCACTAAGGGGGTGGGGCGTGGGGGGCTAGGGATCAGTTGTGGCCCACGGAGAGATCTCCCGCTGGCTTGTGAAAAAACAGCTTCTAGGGTGGGTGGGCAGGTCAGCGCAGGCAAACCCTGCGTGGGCCACGGCTGCTGTCCGGGACTCCAAGAGGCAGGCCTCTCCCTCAAGGGACTCCTGGGGCGGCCCTGGCCGCTCAAATCTCGCCCACTTTGGTTCCCGCACTGGTTTCAACTGGTCTCCCATCCAGGTACAATAAACAGACCATGCTTGGCAAATTCAGGGGAACTAAGGCGATGTGTGTGTGTGTGTGTGTGTGTGTGTGTGTGTCTCCCTTTGCTTGACAGTGGACACTTCTGGGGTCCCACCCCGAAGACTTTAACCTGGCAGCCCTGAGGAATAAAGAACCCTGTACAGCCACAGTAAGGATCGGTAAAGGAGGCAGCCATTGTGAATGTGTAGCAAACACCCCGGAGATCTGGCTGCTGTCCCCCAAATATCTTTACCTTCAGAAGAGGGATCCGCGGCCTGGTTTTCTGCCTTCCACGGGTCCTCAGAACAGACAGCTGTCCCCTTCTCAGCCTCCTCCTCCTCCTCCTCCTCCCCAGAGTCCATGCAGCCGTCATGTTCCCCGTTTTCTAGGCTACCTTTGCCTGGACCTGCCACAGAATGAAGTCCTCCAAAGCTAAAGTGACCCGGAAACAAAAAGACAATAAGGAACTGCACAGACAAGCTCTGTTTACACCCGGGTCTTCAACCAGCAGACCCGCCAGGGCAACTGTGGGGTGAGCATGGTGAACATCTGGTCTCCCTCCTCCCAGTTCGGAAGCTGCAGAGACTGGCCGGATGATGGCAGCACCTGCAGAGCTCCACAGCTGGAAGGAGGGCAGCCGAGCCACAGAGGCACCCCAGGAAGCTTTCTTCTGCAGAGTTCAATCCCTGCCTGCTCATTCTGCTCCTTTAAAATCCCTTCAAGCTTGGCCCCAAATGGCAGATACGGGCACGAACTCCTCTGTATTGGGGCAAGGCAGTCGCCCTTCCCCGCCTGAGCTAAGTGACTCTGCGCGGTTTAAAACAACATCAAATTTCCCACATCTTCTTAGGATCTCATTCAACTTCCCCCAGTCAGAACCTCCCCTCGACCAGCTTATTTTTCTTCAAAAAACTGCAGTTTTCATCCATTCCCTTTACAGTAGTGGCCAAAATTGTGGAAACCTTTTGGGAAAAGTGTACAGTAGAAATGCCACCTTTGGTTACGTTTCCACCCATTTTTCTTCTCATTTCTTTATAACTGTAATCTTGTTCACTTAATAATGCTACTTTACATCGCTTTCTGGGCGACCCGTCAACTCTTTGCACCATTGCTTTAATTTTATTACGTTCTGCAAGCTGACAAAAAAACCCAACCAACTTGATAGCCATCACATCACACACTGACCAATGTCCTCCTCTCTCAGCTGCAATACATGACATCACTGAATCCTACTGTGATCTGATTGGCTCATGGCCAAAACAAGATGACACCTGATTGGCTCTCTAAACACTCACGCTCATTGGCTACAATCAGGTGAAGGAAAGCTACCTGAGATCAACCTAAGCAAGCGGTGCTTCCTTTTTCTGGTTATTTGGCTATAACTTTTCATAGAATACAGTACAGATAATTGAACAAACTTTGCTGCATTACATTCTTGATTAAATTATCTTTCCATTGACATATAATTTTATGGTACTACTCCCCAAAAAAGTGGCGTTATTAGCCATCAAACCTCAAAAATACACTTTTTCCAAAAGGTTTCCACAATTTTGGCCACTACTGTATATGACCAAACCATCTCACAATATTTATTTGCCTTTTACTGAAATGTAATCTTTTTACATGGTTTTTATCTTTTTGATCGTACGCCACCCAGCGTGGCTGCAGTGAGATGGGCAGTCTCTGCATTTGCTGAACCAACGAAGGGCCCAGCTGCAGACTATATACATATACATATTCTTCCAGCTGATAAGGGGCGATCTCCAGCTTTCATCTTACCGTGACCTGGATTTGGCCTGGGCTGCATAGTTTATGTCATTCTCTTCCCAGATATCCTCCTCTTCTTCCTCCTCCTCCTCCTCCTCCTCCTCCTCGCTGTCGTCAAATTGCTGAATGCGTTCGCTGCAGCAGGTTTCAAAGAGGGAGGCGTTGGCCTAGAGCAACAGACGAAGACCAGCTCAGACCAGGGGATCTTTCCTTCCTCGACATACAACGGCAACTGGGACCGGCATTGGCCTGGAATCACAGGGGAGCAGGTGCTGGAGGCCTTGCACAGGAAGGCGCCCAAGCGACCTCTTGTCCCATCGCTCCCCGCAGTTCACAGGGAGACATCAATAAATTCTGATCGCTGAGCAGCGTGAGTTGCCACCGTTGACCGAATCCCACAGCTGTCAAGCGAGGCATTGTTATTGCCAGTGGGGAAGCTGGCAGGAAGTCGCATGTCCCGGGCAGGTAGGTAGCTGGAAGCCCCGGGGAAGCTTGCAAAGGGTGATCACACGATACTCAGTCGCTAGGTGCGAATGGGTGCGGTCACGTGACCGCAAGGGTGCTGGGGGGGGAAGGGCCCGGAACTCAACCTGACGCCATGCGTTCAGTGCTATCGTTAACGGTCGGAACGGTTGCGAACCAAACATTGAGAGCCACCCGTATCCACCTTTCAGAATCAGTTTGAAGAGGCCAGGCATGCAGAGAGCAGCCTAGCAGAAATTCTATGTGATTTTAGCTCTCTCTCACTGAAGGCTCAACACAGGTGGAGAGAGCAGCGTCCCCTGTTTAACAGGGGGATCTTTTGCTGTGCCCGGCCCAGAGTCGCTTTCAGGGGCTGGGGCTGTTTCGTCCGTTCATGAACCATCTTGAGCAAGCAGGTCCAGACCAGGACCCACACATGCTGGGTGGGGGGATCCCCAGAGGAAAAGAAGCATATTCAGCCCCTCAGAAGCACAAAGGAGGGCCGCCAACACGGAGAGCGTGCCTTGAGGCCTTTCCGCACGGCCCCCGTGCCTCTGTGGCTGCCACTGCTTCCCAGCACCTTCCCTGGAGTCGGGGGGGGGGCTTCAAAGGGGCCAGGGCTGCCGCACCTGAACCGGCCACCAGAAAGGCTGCTCTCCCGCCTCTGGGGCAGCATTTGCAACCCCCGAGTTGCTGGCGTGCGGGACTACTTACACCATCATCATCTACGTCGATGCTGAAGTTAATCTCTGCGATCCTGTCGAACGGGGCGCTGGAACAGATGGGGGGGAAAAGGCCGTGAGGGGCGGCTTTCAGAAACCTGTGAGGAGGAAGGAAGCCCCACGGGGAAGGTGGGAGAGGCCACAGTTCCACTTCTTCCGAAGCGCAAGAAAACCCATCGCGTTGCATCTATCCAGCCTCCGTGCAAAACCTCCAAAGACGGGGAACTCTCCGTTTTGCAAGTAGACCGTCCCATCACGCACGGAGCTTCCTCCGAAGAAGAGGCTTCCCTGGCGACTGGCTTCAACACTCACCAGGGAGTAGCGTCGGCCATGCGGACGCCCGGCCCTCTCTCCAAGGGACGGTCACGCCTGCTTATCCTCCCGAGAGCTCCAGTCCTGGTTTCTGAGAGAGTCCGATGACCCGCCTGCCTCTCCCCTTTTCTCCCACCCCGAGGAAAGGCAGGCAGGGGCCGAAGGGAGCCTCCCCTGATGGGATCCAGGGAGCTGAGCGGAGGACCTTGGCCAAAGCAGACGGGGAGGGGGGAGGAAGAGACTCACTTGATGTTGTCATCCTGATCGGCAAACTCTTCGTCGTTAAAGCCGAACTGATCCATGAAAATGGCTGTCATCTGCTGCACCTGGTACTCCGAGAATGCCTGAGGGAGGGAGGGAGGAGGAGGAGGAGGAAGGGGGAGAAGGAAGGGGAAGGGAAACGGGGGAGGGGGAAGGGGAGGAGGAGGGGAAGAGGAAGAAGAAGGAAGGAGGAGGGAGGAGAAGAGGTTGATGATGATGGTAGGGTAACTAACTTGCAGTTTTGAGCAGCCCTCCATGAAATCATAGAGACAGGCGATGTGTGTCCAGTCAGAACACATTCGGGGGTAGAGACCTGGAAGAATCCAAACCCCCACCCGCCCGCCCAGGTACTATGCACAGCTGGGCATCCGGAGCACTCCCAGAAACAACGCACACACACACACACACACACCCCGCCCTCAAGGCTGGCACAGCAGAGGGCTGGGCCTTTCAACAGCGCCACCACACAGAGGCCAGAGGTGGATCGTGAAGGCAGGATACAAATAACACGTAAGTAAATAAAATTACAGTAGTGGGATATCCAGAGGATCCGCTCCACCCAGGAGGGGAGCCCCGTCATACTGCCTAAAATCTCCCCCCCCCAATAAAGGGAAGACTAGAGGTGGGAGTTGCCTAACTGAAGCAGCCTGGAGGCCAGGCCCTCCCCCTCCCCCCGCTTTTCAAGGCAGAGGTGCCCTTCCTCAAAGAGACCTCAATCCATCCCCAGATCCAGCCGTGGGCCAGGCCTGCAGCTGGCAGAGCCCTCCCTGCAAGGCATCCCATCTGCTCCCACCCCCCCGCCACCCGGGCTCAGCCTCGCTGGCACCATTATCTCCCTTGTTCTTCTTCAAGAGGCTGCAAGGGACCCTGAATGTGCAGTGAAAACTGCGATGCTGTTTCAGACACTTTGGTCACAATTAAAGATTACGACGCAGGTGCCGCCTCTGCAGGTCTGCGGAGGTTGCGCCCGGGGCTTTGGTGGATCAGAAAGCCCCCCCCCTTTACCTTCCACATGAACGGACTCGCCAAGGCTTCCCAGGAGCCACCGGCGACCCGCCCACCCACCCAGAACAGCGCCCTCCTGGCCCTTCACTAGCGCTTCACTAGGGCCGCCCTGGAGTGGCCGGAGAAGCTAGTCAGCCAGACAGACAGAGGGGCCAAGTGAGCCTGCCTGTCCGGAGAGAGCTACCTGCTGGAGAGAGACTTCGCTGGGGAAGGCGGCCTCGGCCTCCTCGTCTTCGCTGGAGGAGTGCAGGTGCTGGGCCGTCACCTGCACAGAGGGGGAACCACAGAGGACGGGCTCCAGTGGCTGGGAGGGAAACACTGGCAACCCCTCCGGGCCGCCCCTTCCTTCTCTCGCCACCTCTTGCGGCAGCTTCCGTTACGTTTCCTCCGCACCACCAGCCCCCACCGGTCCGAAGTAAGAGAACGCCAGACTGTCTCACCAAATCCACGGTGTTCCTTCGGTTGGCTTCCACCAGAGTCTCCTCCACGAAGCTCTCCCAGCGTCCTTTGCAATCCTCAGGAAGACCTGCAAGGAAGCAGCGGCCGCGGGGCTCAGAGGGCCACACGCGAGAGACAAGCGCCCCCCCCGGCCTGGAGGGAGCCAGAGCCTCAGGCGGGCCGGAATCAGAGCGCCTGCGTGGGTGCGGTGTGGCCCGGCGGCATCTGCTCTCGGGAAAGCAGCACGGGGGGGGGCAGCCTGCAGAGCCCCTGCGAAGGGGGGGTCTAGGCTGCTTACTGGGGACAAGAGAGAAGCCGGCTGCCCCCCAAAACGCTCAGCTCTCCAGTGCGCAGAGACGCCAACGCCTTACAGCCCTCTGGGCAACCCGAGTTTAAACCCCAGGATTTTGCCTCCTCTCTGATTTAACCAGGACTGCAGCTCGGAGGGACCGAGAGCTCCGAAGAGGCAGGCGGGGTCTCCTGCCCCTTCTTCTCCCTTGGGCCCGGCAGCTTTGGCCCCGGCTTCCCCGGACGGAGGGAGGGCCGGGATCCTCTCCTACCTGTGATGAGCTCCCCAATCTGGCTCTGCCCGGGGCCTTTCTCCATCGTTTGCACAACGGCGTTGGCGATTCGGGTCAGGTGGCCCATGTTGCCACGCCTCATCCCACCTTCTGCCCTGGAAGGGACCAAAGCGAGGAGCCACGGCTGAAAAACGGAAGCCCAAGCAGCGTTCATCCGGGCGGGCACCGGCTCGGCTCTGGTCTGCTGGGCAGGGGGTGCAGGGCGGGTCACGCCAGGACGCGGAAGAGCCGCCGCTCGGCTGCCCCTCAACCTCTGGCAAGGGGGTGGGGGGGAGGGCCTCCCTGGAGGAGAGCTGCGGCTGTGGGCCAAAGGCTCTGACTCAGGAGAGAGTGGCCTCCGTCCTTGGGTGCTCCCAGTTCCTTCTGCTGCTCCCCAAACAAAAGGGCCGCCCCAAAATCAACAGCGAAGCAGAGCAAGGGAAAGGTGACAGGCGGGGGGAGGGGGGAGTGTCACGAGGGGACCAAGCAGGTCATCCTGGCCGTGTTCTGGGCTGAACGCCTGCCCGTCTTTCTGCACCCAAGTGAGCGGAGCCGAACCCGGGCAGAGACAGGCCCCGGGGCTCCCTGGGAGTCTGGCCAGGAGCCAGGCGGCCTCAGAGCCTTACTGGATCTTGTCGTTGGTCTCCCAGGCCCCGAGGATCCTCTGCACCAAGCAGCACTTTTGGAAGAGCTGGAAGAGGAAGACAGGAGAAGCGTCTCAGGGACCAGGAGCGGAAGCCTCTTTCTAACACAGATGAACACGGATGCAAGAACGAGACAGGGTGGGGGGGTGAGGAGGTGGGGGCGGAGCAGCCAAATCCCAGGGGGAGAGTGAAGCCAGTCTCAACTTGCACAAGGCTAATTCACACTGAAAAATGGCAAAACCCAATCGCCTAAAGGGCTGCCTTTTGTTAGAAACTGCAGCTTGCAATTTAAAAAAAACAACCCTAAGACCCAAGGAGGCAACGTTAATTTGGGGCTGGCAGAGAGTTAATGGGGCATTTGCTTAAATAGCCCACAGGGACTGATGCCAGTTTTGCCCCCGCTCTGCTGCAGGGTTTAACCTTCTGGTTAGAGCTCCCGAGAGATGGCACCCCCTGGGGCAGCTGCCTGGGGGGCCCTCCCCTTCCCTTTCTCAGCTAATCCGAAGGGCCCGCGGCTCCTCCTCTCGGCAAAGGGCAGAGAAACCGGGTCAGCCTCCCTCTCCCAGGGGTCTCGGCCCCTTCCAGGAGTGCAGATTTCAAGAATGCCACGGCCAGGGTGGCTAATGAGGAGGATTCCCACGTTGGGGAAGCCCCGAGAGGGGGTGACTGGCTAGCTACCCCTATTCTACGTGGAACCATCCACACAGCCGACACAGCCCGTATAAATTAAAGAGTTTGGGCTACAAGGGGCTTGTTGTCTTACTAGGCTTAATAACGTTCTTGCCATAAAACGATCGCCGTCACTTTTAACCATTCTGAGGAGAGGAGGGCACTTCCTCTCTCCCTGGAAAAGCACAATTCAGGTCTGGTCCCTCCTCCTGCCAAGGCAGAGAAGGAGCCTCCTCCAGCGTTGCCCCCCTTGGCCCCCTCGCTCTGCCTGCCGCCTTCGCAGCCGCCACCCCCTCAGACGGGGCTGCCAGACCGAGAGCCCACCCAACCCACCCCCCTCTTGGCTGGCCCACTTCCAGGGGCAGGCAGGGAACCAGAGGGCCCCTCCCCCAGAGCGCCCCCCCCGTGAGGTCCTGCAGGGGGGGAGGGGGGGAAGGGAGGCTCCGCTAAGAAATACTGGAAACGCCACCTGGCTCTTTGCCCTGGACGGGACGGCAGGTTGACTCAAGTGCCTGAATGGGGCCCTTCTTGGTGCAGGATGAGGCTTCCAGGGCTGCGGCCCGGCCCTCCCTTCGGAAGACTCGGCCAGGGTTGGAGGACACTTACGTGAGTCACCATGAAGTTCTCTGGCGCTCCAGCCGTTCCCTCCGCCTCCTCCTCCTCCTGGCTGTTTTCCGTGAGCAGCCTGCTCCCGGGGGGCACCGAGTGCATCAGGACGGCCGTGACACACAGCTCCACTTGGAAATGCAGGAAGTTATTCCAAGTGTATTTGAAAAACAGGTCCTGAAACAAGGCAGAGGAGGAGGGGGAGGGGGAGGGGGAGGGTTCGTTCCTGTCCGTCCTAAGCGCAGCCGGACCAGGGGAGCAGAGGCACAGGGGGCCTCCTTCCCAAGGCTCAGCAGGCGCCCCGAGACTCCCCTAAGCCGGCTGATCGGTGGCTTATCTGCCACACACCCACAAAGAGGACTTTCTCCGCCAGGGAAATAAAGATCTACCGACGTCTTAGCCCTGGAAAGCCCACCTCCTGGGTGCCCCCCCCATTGGCCAACGCAGCTCCCCACTCACCAGCAGCAGGTCCATGGTGCTGAGCCGGCACAGCTCCCGATTAATGCTGGGCGTGTTGGTGTGAAGAAGGGCAGCGATCAAGCGGGCGCCATGAAGACGGGCATTGCCGAGGGGCTCCTCCAGCACCCCGATGGTCGTCAGGATAGAAGCCACCTGCCACCGTCGAGAGGAGAGCCAGGGTTTCAAGCCAGCTCCCCCCCACGAAGCCTGAGCAGAGTGTGTGCGCCTCCTTTCCCCTGCCGAGCGATGGCCGGGGGGAGGGGGGCTGCCCGAAGACCACCGCCCGGGAGGCAGGTCTCATTCCCAAGAGGACCCGTCCCACGAGCCCTGCGAGGAGGAGGAGGAGGAGGGCAACGTCCGGAGAGCAGCCGGCCCTGGAGAAGCCTCTGCGAGACACACACATGGGGGGGGGGGCAGAGCCCTCTGGGAGAAACCCTCAGCCTGACCAACCTCCTCCCTCTGCGGCCCCCCAGTCGGCTCTGAGCCAAGGAGAGCCCTCAGCCCTGGCACCATCGCACCGAGAGCCGGGAGGAAAATTCTTTTTTTTTTTAAAAAAAAAATAGGCTTTTTTTTTTTTAAAGTAAGGAACTGTATAATCCCAACAGCTAACACTGAAGTCGGGGGGGGTGGGGGGGTGGGGGGGAGAAAATAATAGAAAAAAAGAAATACAACCTACAAAAAGGAAAAATATAGAAAAAGAAAATATCTTAAATTAAAAGTGGCTCCTGATCTTCCTCGCAACAAGTACAGGCAAATCAATAGCCCCCCCACCCTCTATAAGACCCCTCCCCATGGCTGCCACGCTCCCCCACCCCACCCCACCCATTCCCAGACACAGAAACGGTTGTCATTTCTCTCCAATTGTCAGCAAAAGGGTTTCCAGGATTTTATAAAAATGTTCCATATTTTAACCCTAATAAAATAAGTCGACTTTAAATTCTTTTATGTCTAACAGTCTTATTCTTTAGTTCTTCAAGTGGATGTTGTAGTATTGAATACGATTTTTTTTTCCCCAACACACAAAGATTTCTTCAAGGTTTTACAAAACGTCTTTGGTAAATTCAAAAATAAATTCTAGCCCACCTTTTTTTTTCAATTTTGATTCGTCATTTGCGTTTCCCTTCCGACAGTCGTCTCTCTCTCTCTCTCTTATAATCCTTTATTCCTTCACTTTCCATGTTTCTCTACCAGCCGGGATTTGCATCTCCTCTTCATTCTCTCTAGTCATGAATTCTTCCCTCTTTATTACCTGCCACGTTTTCCTCTTCTTTGTAACCCAGGAGAAATGCAGCTGCAGGTGCGGAGATTATTTCTCTCAAGACTTGTTATTTTTCTCCAGTCCTTCAAACTCTTCTGAAAGGTTTCCAGGGCCACGGCCTTCATTTGCCCTTTGGCAGAGAGCCCCCCCTCCTTCCTCTCCCCCCCCAGCCCCACTCCCCTCTGGAAGTCCTTCTCTACCAGGTTGGCCAAAGTTCACCAAACTTCATCACTACTTTGTTGTTTTCACCTTTCACCCAGCGGGTCTCTTTCCCGACAGGTCCACGAAGCCTCTTCGCTCGCTCAATCCTTCACAAATCTTTGGGAAAGTCCTAATATCCCACATTCGGCTGGTCCCCTTAACCGGTTTAAAACGGTCTTAAATTCTTATCAGCTTTTTGCCATTCTTTTTATATGATTTAAGTTCTTTAAACTGATAACTTTTCTTCTGTTTTTGGATGAAGTTATATTTGCCGGCTGTTTTCTTTTTACAAACTTGCCGTTTGGAAGATCTCTTCTAACTGTAAACTGATTGTAGGTCCAAGGGTGGTTAGAAAACGAGGTGGTTGAACCCAGGACCCTTGAAGGCCCCAAGGTGGTTGGGCTCTCGTGGCGCTCCAGACCCCTGGGAGGGCGCCATCCTGCGGAGTGATCGGAGAACCTCTCCTGGGTCCAGGGCGGGCCCTCCTGCGCCGAGTCAGGCGGGGTGGACACAGCGCCCTCTCCCCCCCCCTCGCAGAGACATCCAGCGCAGGGGCCCTTCCCCTCCTCCTCCTTCTCCCCTGCAGACGGAGCCCCTCTCCCCTCTCAGGCGGAGCCCCTCAGCCCCACTGGGGCTGCCCACCCGTTCCCCGCATGCACACCACGCCGGCCACCTCCCGGCACTGGGGCAGGACTCCGCCCGCCTTTCTATTCAGTCCCCCCTGGAAATGGTGCGCCCTTGACATCTCACGCTATGCTGGCAGGTAACCTCTTTCGGTGGGGAAAAGCCCGAGCCTGGCGGCACCCGGGTGGTAGCCCGAGGGCCAGACCTGCCACCTCACAACCTCCGTCTTGGGGAGTCGCACCACTATAAACACGTCTTCCTGTTCCGTCTCTCACAGGCACTTCGGAAAGAGGCAAGAAGGCCACCAAGACAAGATGGCTGCAATCTCCCACTGTCTGCGGCTCGCCACGAATCATCAACGAGAGCAACCGAGGCAGCCTCCAGCATGTATACTGGCCTGAAGCAGGCAGTTGTGTCAAGTCTGCCCTTTTCTTCACAATCCTCCCCACAAAAGGAGGCCGGAGAGTGAACAGTCATGACCCAAAGATGGAATTCTGTGGGAATGAAAACCGAGGCCCCCAACCTCCTGAAGGAGGGGACCAGATGAAGAGGGTATCGCGGTATCAAGAAATAACCTGCCAGCATCCTCTCCCTTCAACCGGGGCGGCTGCTCGAGCCTCCTTCCCCCTCAGCCGGGCAGCGACCCGTAGCTCAGGTGGGCTACTTCGGGCGGGCAGGCAGGAGGCACAGAGGTCAAGCGGCTGTGGGAGGAAGGCCTTGCAGCAGCCAGGATCTCTCCCCCCCCCTGGAATCCGGCCCCCAATTACGGAAGGAAAATGCCGGCAGCACCAGAGTGTGGCCTTATGTGTTTTGGAGGGAGTTTTGTGCTGTGTTGGGTGGGAGAACAACCATAAGCTCAGCAGGCGACTGATGGGGAAAGAGGACCAGGCTCGGATTTCAGCAGATCAGCTGAAAAGAAAGCAGGCCCAGCAGCCTCACCCCCAGCCCCCCACCCCCACCCCCCAGCAGGGACGCTCAGTCACCCAGCAGCCCAGTAAAACGCCTGCCTTTAACCCCCCCACCCCCCCACCCCCCACCCGCCAAGAGCGGCTGACAGAGGCCAACTACTTTGAAGGTGACCAAAGAGGGCGGCGTTATAAGCTCAGGCAACAAAGAGGAACAGGCCGCTCGCTCGTTGGACTACTTAGGAATGAGATAAACATTCCTAAATACGTGGCAGGCAGAGGTGCTAGCATAAGCATAGCCAAAACACAGCACAGGCTTGAAGACAAGATAGAGAACGGGAAATACGCTTGTTTCATTCGTGAATAATAATAAAGGTCTCCCTGAAACCACAATGAAGGGACCAGGGCCACGTTAAAGAAAAAGGAGCCCCTTCGGGGTTCCCCAAGCCCCCCCTTTGCTTCTTGCCCAGAGAGGGGAGCCCATCTTTCTTCCACACACACACACACACACACACACACATACACACCCGGAGTTCTCCACCTCGTGAGCTCAACCTCCAGACGAGGGGAGGCGCAGGTTGGTAGAGTTGGCACAGGCCCCGCTCCTTCCTCTGCCTCTCTGCTCCTTCTTCCTTCCTTCCTTCCTTCCTTCCTTCCTTCCTTCCTTCCTTCCTGGACCTAGTGCCTGCCCCTTCCCCCCCCACCTCCTTTGCCGAGAGTGTCATGGCTGCCCCTGGCCACCCCCTGGATTCCTGTGCCCGAACCCAGTGCGCAGGAATTGGGCCCGAGGGGGGAGAATCCCCATACCTTGGGGGGATGAAGCAGCAGCTGGTGGAAGTCCTTCAGGCGCAGCTCAATGCCCTGCAGGACGCTGCTACTGACAGGGTGGAACTTTTCAAAGCCCTGGGAGAAGGAGTCCAAAAGTCCTTCCAAGCTGTGGGTAGAAAAATAAGCCAACATCAGAAACAAATCGTGTTCAGACCGTACTGGAGCCACGGCAAGTGCCTCAGAACGGGCCTGATTCAATTTCACAGCCGCCTCCAAGTTTCCGTAGTTCAATTTCTCACCCACGGGAAGCAGCATGGCACAGTTAATTAAAAAGAAAAATGGTAAAGCAGAAATACAGACATTATCAGAGGTTCACCTCCAGGTTTTCTCTCCCATGTTTCCGAGGTGGCTTGCCCTCCCCTTCGTCCCAGAGCTGAGAGGAAGAGGAGGAGGAGGAGGAGGAGGAGGAGGAGGGAACGGCCCCAAATGTGCCCTCGGCTTTCCCCACGGCTGGGCCGGCACTTTAACCTTTACAGGCAGACCAAACTGGCTCTACTTCCAAACCAATGAAAGGCAGCAAGTTATACCTGAAACCAGAATTACCCACCTGTCAGACGCCCGAATCCCTCTGAAGGCCACGCGGTAGGCTCTCCCGTGGCCACGCGGCAGACCCTGATCTGCCCAAAAAGTCCACCATTTGCCCCAAAAGGTTCCAGCCTTTTAAGGGAGGCCCACGGCCCATGTTTGTCCATGGGACGCCTACTTTGCCCCAGCCTGCCGGGTCTCGCCTCCCCGGCCACCCTTTTGCCTGAGCTAAAGACTCGGAGGAACAATGCCGTCAATTAAAATACAGTGTCAAACCAGCCACGGTGTCTCCCTGCCATTAAACGAAGAGCTTCTGCAAGGTGAGCACCGCAGGCGCCCCTTTGGGCGGTGGGGAAAGCCGCAGCCGAGGGCAGCCGATCAGGGTCGGGAGGACCAAAGACCCGCACCAGAGACTAGGCTGGGCAGGAGGGGCTCCACTGGCCCAGCCCAGAGGGAAAGCCAGGAGGAGGGAGGACTCCTTTCCTGGCCTGCCTGGTAGCCTAAAGCACCTCCTGCAATTCAAGGGTCCCCCCCCCCCCGAGGGTGTATAATGCAGAGGCAGCCCTGGTTTCAGCCAGAGGGAGCAGCCGCTCCTCTCTAGGGCCCTGGCCTGAGCAGCACGGGGGGGGGAGAGGAAACGGTGGTCATCCAACAGGTAGGGCTCCTCCTAAATACACGCCTGCCTGCCTCCCTTTTGTGTGCAACCTCTCCCCCCACACCTACACCTCCTGTGCCATTTCCAGGGTCTCCAAGGGGCTTCTGAGGGGGAGGGTCCCATGAGGATCAGGGTCCCATGAAATGAGTGCAGCTTGAGGCCGCCAAGTGTTCCAGGAAATGAGACGACCGGATTCAGGCAGGGGAGCCCCCCTCTGCAGCTGGGCGGCCACATCCAGCCCGTGAAGCGCAGCATCGCCTGGCACCAGCGGAAGGGGTGGCGCCCGGACAGCCCAGGCAAAAGCCAAAATCCTTGCTCTTGGTAGGCCGAGGATTTGCAGACGTTTGCGTGAAAAGCCAGACATCCTGCACTGCGAGGTAATTTTTATCCGGCAGATGCTCTAAACAATCAAATCTTGTGATGCCTGTAAATACTGCTTGTAAAATTAGCAACATTGGAAGAATCTGCCTTTGCCATAAATGTGCTGCTTTCAGATCAGACCAGGATCAGACCTGCACTCAGAGCAGCTTAGCTGTGAGCAGCAAACGGAGTTGCTTCTGCGACAGCCCGGGGCTCACGGAGCACAATTCCAGAGGAGGCCGAAACGCGCATCCTGCCGGAGACACCCGCCCGGCCATTGCTGGGCGCGGGCCAGGGCACTGGGCTGGATGAGCCAGCCTGAGCTGATCCTTCAGCAAAGCCCCAGAGAGCGATCTGGCCCATCGCTCGCGGGAAAGACACCCACGGCTTCCGTTCAGGATCTCTTCCCACACGCGTGTCGTCGGGCTCCTGGCTGGGAGAATGGAGCTGCACGCTTTGCCTGCGAATTCTGCAGGGTGAACCAACGGCTGAGTCTGCCCACCAGGCTAAGCTGAAACCGAGCCAGCGCCGCTGTAGGTGGGCACGATTCAAGAAATATCAGAACATTCCTGACTAGTCTTTGCCTTGGGGATGGCTGTGCCTAGAATCAGAGCTGGAAGGGACCTCTGAGGTCTTCTAGTCCAACCCCCTGCCCAAGGCAGGAGCCCTTCAACCACCCTGGACAAACAGCTGCCCAGTCTACTCTCGAAAGCCTCCAGCGATGGAGCACCCACAACCCCCGGGAGGCAAGCGGTTCCACCGGTTAACCATTCTCACTGTCAGGAAATTCCTCCTCCTGAAGTATTCAGGAGCTACTAGATTTTGTAACAGCTTTGTAACTCATACCATCCATCTTGTAAATTCGCAGGATTTTTTCCCCCCACCACGTATATGTATGCAGTCAAACTAGACTGCGATGTTTCTCTGTGTCATGTGTGTGTGTGTATGTGGGTATATGCATAGTGGTATTTTTTTGAGCTGAAGGCAACGAAATTTCATTTTAATGTATGCTGATTAGTACACATTTAAAGTGACAAGGAAGATTCTTATTCTGTTCTTATTCTTATTCTTATTCTAATTCTCAAAAAGCCTTGGCCCACACCACAGGACTTCCCCTAAACTAAATTCAGCCGAATTCAACCGCTGTGCCCACACAGGACACAAGCAAGGAGCCACGTCACGGCTTCACAGGGGTTCAGGCGCCCAGGAAGGAAGAGGTCCTCGGAGAACCGCCCGGTCGGGCCTGAAGGAGCACAGCGGGGGGGGGGGCTTGCAGAGCAGTTCCGCTTACCCAGCTCTCCTTGGCTCAAGCAACGTCAGCAAAACCTGGGTCCCATTCACGATGCAGTTCTCCATCAGCGCCTCGTCAAACATGTTCCTCAAGAGCTGCTCCACGCACTCCTGCCTGAGACACCAAACACAAGTCAGCACCACAGGGACTCCCCGCTTAGCCAGAGTAACCGGGACCGGCTACTCTAGCTGAGGGACACAGTCGTCAAGCGTGGACCTCAGACGGCCCTGGCAGCGGCGGCAATCCCCGAGAGATCGCACAGTTACCACCTGCAGCCCCCGGGCGGCTTTCCCATCGGCTGCACTTATTGGGACCCAACGGTGAAGATTGCCAATTGTGAGCACACGGGATGCTGCGATGCCACGACTATGAGGAACAGGTATGCACGTACGTACTCCAGGTGGTCTTCAACTCGGGACCACAGCTGGGCCCAGAATTCCCACTGCTAAATGAGGGGATCGTAAAGCGTCACACCAGCACATCACTCAGAGACTGCATCCCCAGCATCCCGGCTGCCGTCATTAATCGGGAATGGCAGTCGTTAAGTGAAGGGGGTCCCAAGTAAGGAGCACGGAGGGTGCTGAAGGGGCTGGCGGAGGCCAGCACAGGCTGCGCACACACCGGGGCCGCTGCGATGCTGTGCAAACTGCAGCCACCCCTGGAAGCCTCAGCTGCCCCAGCAGCGCAGCACAAAGCTGCCTGGCCAAGGAGGGCTTGCACACACACACACACACACACACACACGCGTCTCACTCGTTGGCAGCAGCGCTGGGGCTGAAGTACAGGCCCGGGGCCATCAGCGGTCTCAGCTGGCCACCGCTGCCCCAAGGCCTCCGCCTCGGCCCAGTCTTGCGAGGCCGCCTGCCGTTCTCCAAATAGCAGGCCTGCTCCCCTGAAGCCCGGGCAAGAGCAGAAGGATCGGGAGACTGGAGCAAGAGGCTTCAAGAAATGAGACATGGGGCCTGGCGAAGGAGCAGAACAGCACGAGGCGGCAGAGGTCAGCGAGGCACAGCAGAGGCCACTGAGTGTGGGCAGCGAGGGCAGATGGGGCTTTGGGCAACAGTGCCAGCATGGCTGGCCAATGCATGGGGTTCGAAGCAGCATTTCTCCACGGCGGTGGAAACGGGATGAAGAGGAGGCTGCCCGGGGGTGAGGCCGCAGGAGGCCCTGCTGCCAACGTAGGGCGGCCAAAGGGGCTTGGATCAAGGGGTAGATGAGAGGGAGCTGCAGCATCCCTGGGGCTGCTCGTTAAGGGCAGGCGGATCGCCAAGCGCCAAACTGCAACCGCACGAGCGCAGGGGTACTGCACAGACTGCAACTCCTGGTGCAGGTTGCAAGTCCCTTCGTCTAGCATTGTCACAATTTTGAATAGTCATAAATTGAGGACTTCCTGTAATCCCAGTGCAGGCAGCCTGCTGAACGGATCAGAGTTTATTCCCAGCAGTCTCTCAGCGTGCCGTTCCCCCTCGGTCCCCTTGGCTTCCGGCCCCAGCTGGCTCTCGGGAGCGGGCAGGCGCTTGGGTCAGCTGCCCACACACAATGTGCCAGCCACCCCCGGTTGCTCCTGCCCTGCCCACCTCTGGCCACGTGGGAGCCATCCGGATTTTTGCCAGGATGAAGCAGTGTTGTTGCTTCACTGACACGCTGCCTTTCTCCCAAGGAGCGCCAAGGCAGTGGAGACACTCCTCTCCCCCTCCCCTCCGTCCCACAACCTCCTCTTATGGTGGGACCGGCTCACGGGTGGGATTTGAGCCAGGCCCACCCAGCGGCGCCAACCCCAAAGCCTCGGCCCTCCAGCCAACCTCCCTCGTTCTCCACCTCCTCCCGGAAGACCCGTCTGAGCCGAGCTGCAGCCCCCCCCCCGGGCCCTCCTCCCACCCACCCACCCACCCACCCTCCGCTGCTGCCTTCCTAGGTACTTACGACTCCAGGGAGGCCAGGAGAGGATCCGGGTCGGCCCCCTCCTGGAGCTGGCTGCTCTGATCTCTGCTCAGCCTGATGACGTCACACAAGGTCTGAGAAGCGTTGGATTGTCTCTGCAAAACGGGCCACGAGTCACTCCTGGCTAGAGGGGGGCCCTTGGAAGGCCTGAGCCTTCCCGCCCAGAGCAGTTCTCCCCCCCCCCGCATCCCCTTGGAAATGGGAAGCCGGGTGAAGAGGGGAAGCAGCAGGTCCCCTCCACAGCTGCCACCAACCCCTAAATCCCCCCCCCCCCACTTTGAACAACAGGGAGCTCCTTGGGATTCCTCCACTGGCCCTACATTCCTGGGTTAGGTTATGCGTTACTTAATTTTGATTGATTTAAGAACGAGCCACAGCCTCTGGCGCGCTCATTCCCTCCGTCATAAAATACCATCCAGTTGGCATTCCACTCTTTCCTTAGACCTGCCTTTTAAATGTGTCCATTTTGCGTTTCTGTACTTGATAATTGGCATTTGTTTTATTATTCCACACAGCCACCCTTTGTTGCGTGGATCAAGCTTGTTCAGCAAACCGCTGTAAGACCAGGAACGCTTTAAGACGATAAAGGCAGCCAGCCCCGACAGCTGAGAAGTGTTTCCCCCCGGAAGAACGAACGGGGGCAAAACCAGGAGGGCGACGCTCCCTCTTAAGGCCTTTGGGGGTGGGGGGGTGAGGAAAGAGAGGACAGGCCTCCAGGCAGGACAGAGGCTCTGTTGAGCAGGACTCCCCCCCCTGTGAAGGAGCCCTGGGGGCCAGAGTGGGAGAGAGGAGGCCCACGTGGGGCTCCCTCAGAGCAGCCCCAGGGACTCCAGCGGCTCCCCCAGAAACCAAGGGACACTCACACCTTCCTCCTGGTGAGGGCGGATCAGCTCCACCAGCCTCTCCACCAGCCTTGCGTCGTTCAGCCACTGCAGGAGGAAGGGAAGGGAAGAACCAGGTCAGCGCAACGCCTTCCCCAACGCCCCGTCTGAGCCGTGGGTGTTTCTCCCACCACCATGGCTCCAGCCCCCTCCTCTGGTTCAAATCCTGCAGGCTCTGTTCCCAGAAGCTCCAAAGAAAGCCCCCCCCCCAGCTTGGAAGAGGGAGAGGTTAACTTTGCCCACGGCAGCCCTCCTGACGCCAGAGGGGGAGATTCCCCTCCCCTAACACCCGGCCCCCCCACCAGGCCCAGCCTCTCCCAACTCAGCCCAGGCCCTGGCCCGGCCGCAGAGCCCAGGGCCCCCGAAGAGGAGGGGAGGCAGAGCGGGAGCCCCGACCTGCAGAACCTCCTGGCGAAGGGGAGCCGGCTCCACACAGCTGACCAGCCGCAGGAGGAGGTCCATCATGGCGGACGTCTCAAGATGCTTCAGCACCAGATCGACAAACTCGGCTTTCTTCCTCAAGAATGAAACCACCTGGGCAAAGCAACAACGGCCAGGCACCATCAGGGCTCTTCACTTCAAGCGCACCTTAGAGCTAACATCTGCAGAGGAGATGCAGACCCCCCCCTCCAGAGGAGGGACCAATGGCTGGAACCCCCACCAACCAGAATCAGCCCTGGAAGGGGAAGACAAAGCAGCCGACGTCTTACCGCCCACCCGGCCCTCTGGGCGGACCCACGGAGGAGCAAGGTCAAAGAGCGCAAGGGTGGAAGCACAATCTCCATCCCGCCCTTGCCAGAGATCATCCAAGCGTGCAACCAAGGGGGCCTCTTGCTCGGTCCAGGCCTTGGTCCAGGTGACCTGGTCCACTCGAGGCCTTCTGAGGGTGCAGCGCTGTCACTCCCTCAGCCCCCTTCCCCAGAAAGGGGGGGTCAGACGTTGGGCAGAAGGGGTGGGTCCAGCAACGGCTTCTTGAGGAGGGGGCAGACCAAAGCTTCCTTAACAAGCGAAGGAACAACCCCCTCACTCAAGGAAGCATTAACCGCCACTAGGGCCCACCTACACGACACCTCTGGGGGGGCTCTAACCAGCCGGGGGGGGCGGGACCCGAAGAGCAACGGCTGAGCTCGCAGGCCGAAGGATCCCATCCGCCTCCTCGGCTCCGGCAGGTTCGGCCTGTTCCCAGAGATGGGCTGGGAAACGGTAATCGGCAAAGACTGAGCCGCCTGCAGCCGTTCCCATTCCTATCCCCCCCCCCCACACACACACAGACACTTCAGGACTACTGGTTTGAGGGTGTTCTTTGTCTATAATTAAATCAGCAATGTGGGGCCGGCTTATACGACCTTTTAGAGAAACCAGGAGAGTGGAGAGCAGAGTCCTTTCAGAATCTCCACCCCACGTGTGAAACCCCAAGAGGCACCCCAGCCTTGAGCCCCCCCCGTGCCCAGAGCCATCTCTCTATCCGGTCCAGCCCACAGAGGGCAGTGAGGCACAACCAGATGCTCTGGCCACAGGGCGAACCGTGGAGGAACACGGTGAATGTAAGGGCCGTGTAAAATAATCGTCGGGGGGGGGGGGAGGAGGAGAAGCAGCCTCTTTACCTGGGTGAGAAAGGGAAAGTGACTCTAGTGTCAATTTCTCCTTCTGCAGCAGAGGGAAAGGCTCTAATTAACCCCCTCTTAACCATTTCAAGTAGGGGGTCCTTAAAGGGAGCAGGGGAGACGGTATGTGAGGAAATGAGGAGGCCGAATGCCTCACCTGCTCCGCTTTCCTAGCGATGAGGCTGCCGATGGTCTTGCTGAAGAAACTGGCCAGCAAGGGGTTCAAGGGAGGCTCCTGTTCCAAGAAGCCGTAGAGGACGTTCCACAAGGCCTCGTCCCCCCCCAGCCGGTCGCTGATCTGGGGCACATCCGAGGTCAGCAGCTCGCAGGCCGTGTTCGGGTACCTGCAGGGGCGGAAACAAAGCCGAGGCTGAGGACCGGCGGGGCCTCGTCCGGTCTCCCTAAGAGCGGTCAGGGGGAGCTGCCAAGGCCCGCCACCCACGGCCTGAAGGTGGAACATGGCCACAGCACGCATGGCCAATGCAGCCTTCTCTCCCAAGAGGAGACGGCGTTGGATTCTGGCGATGGGGCCTTCATAGACACCAATGCCAGGTGTGGGGAGAGTCAGGGGAGGGGGAGAGGGGGTGCCTCGTAATCCTTCCTGCATCTCTCCGCTTTCCTGGACAGAACAGATGGGCATACAGCCGCTTTGGAGTGGGGGGGGGGTGTTCTCTCTGCAGTGTTTTACTCATTTAGAACATGCTTAAGTATTTTGAGAATGAGTGGGCTGAGTCAAGAAAAAGAAATGGAAGTGGAGAACGGAGCTGCCCCGGCCTCTCAATCCGGCCCCCCCCCCCCCCCCGATACCATCCCTTCCCAGGCTCTGCTGGCCTCTGCCACCGCGGCATCTGGGCTAACCCGCCTCCCCTTAACTCTCTCTCGTGTGTGTGTGTGTGTCTGAATTCCTGGAGAGACCAGGCGCCCCTTCGGTGGCTGCAGGTCCACTTCGACCAAAGGCCGCTGGGGTTTCTGGAAGAGCCTTTCACAATAACGGATGGTTAACGTGGGAAAAGGTGGCCCTTGCCTGGTGGGACGGATGTTTCATTCCCCTGCAACTGCAGAGGGACTTCCTCTGTCTCCTGCGGGCAGGGAGCCAGCTCAGGATTCGAGGTTTCAAGAGAGCGGACCTCAGTGAGCAAAGGGGAACACATTCCAGGGAGGGAAAATCCCTCAGTTCAGGGAGATTGATTTCTTTTTTTAAAAAACCAGAGAGTGGAGATGCTCACGCAAAGAATGCCAAAGAGAAAGCCCTCCAATAAACTGAGAAAGGAGAAGAACAAGTGCCGAGAGAAAAGAACATTGGATGGTCTGAGCTTGGTTGCTTTCTTGCAGACGTTTCATTACCAGACTAGGTAGCATCATCATCATCCGTGCTGGAAGGGAATGGAGTGCTGGGGGGGGAGGGAGGGGAGGAGGGGAAGGAACGGGGAAAGGAGGAGGAGGACTGTGGGGTCCTTGGTGATCTCTGAGCCTGGCTGCTTTCTTGCAGATTAGATAACATCACCAGAGCTAAACTGATGCTGTCACCTAGTCTGGTAATGAAATGTCTGCAAGAAAACAACCAGGCTCAGAGAGTGCCAAGGAACCCACAAAAAGGACAAGTTTAAAAAATGGAAAGAGGGGCACATAATGAAAGCAGACCAAAGGTAGTCCCTGACTTAGGACCATCCCAGGGCCTGCCTCTTTTGGTTGTAAGTCGTAAGGGTCGTGGAACAGTTGCCGCGGGACTGGACTCCTTCAGAACCTTCTCCCTTCTCAGCTAGGCCCCCATCCGAGGGGCTCCCTGCAAACGGGGCCTCCCGCCGCTTTCCTCTTCCACAGGACGGAGAGGTGGAGAAAATACGACGAGTACCAGGCGCCGTTTGCATTCTGAAGTCCGCTGTGTCGTTTGAATAGACACACAGGCAGATTCCACCTGCGGACTCAGTACAGCCTTGCTTCGCCAATAGCTCAAATCCCTCAGGAACACTCCATCACCAAGAGAGAGGATCTGCGAGAGGAACCGCAGGCGTTCAGCCGGGTTTGCTCCGGGTGGCTGAGGTGGGGTGCCACCCCCGAGGCCTGAGAAAGAAGGCTAGAGCTCCCTCTGGGTCTGGGGAGGGGCTGGAAAACAGCCGGGCACTGATCATTCCGCCCTCCGGGAGATTTCCTACCCTCGGGGGAAGAGTTCAAACGATTACCAGCCGGCCCGAGCCAGGCCATCCCAGAGAGCTTCCCCCCCCCGAGCACAGAAGCCAGGATGCTAGAAGAGTCTCTGAGAATTTCATCCTGTGACCCACAGGTAGCTCTCGCCGTGACCCAAGGGGTCAAAGGGCAGGCTCTGTCATTAGAAAGAAGCTGCACAAACCAGGTCTACGCGGGAGGCGTACCAGGAGGATCCCTCGGCGGTCCAGAAAGGACCTCAGGGGCAAGACCAGAGTTTTGGCCCACGAACCCCCCAGGCAAAGGCCAGGCCTTCCGGGACGTGGTGCCCCGATAGACAAGGCAAAGACCACGTTCGGCAAACACCGAAGACAGCATCTCACCAGGAAAGCCCGGTGACAGAAACGTTACTAGCTGGAGCTGCTTCGCTGCACCTGGGCAGCTCACCGCCATAGAAAGCACGGCACGGCCTTCCCTGGGCCAGAGGGTTCTGGAGGAGAACCTGAAGCTGGGACCTTGCAAAAGGACCATGACCCAAACGTTCCAGTAAACCCAAGGAATGGCTAAAAGAAAGGAGGGGAAAGACATGGAGGGCTCTGGAACGGCCGAGGGTCAAAGGCCAGGTCGAGGTCCCGCCCAGAGGCTGAGGGGGGCGAGGTGAAACGGGCCGTGCGTGCAAGGAAGGCCCTCACGCACCACCCAGCCGAAGTGGGAGCTGGGAGACGGTTACGAGGAACGCCTGCTGGAGGCTGTTTCTGCCGGAGGGGGTGAAGCCGGGTGCATTAGGGCCAAGGGTGCACTTATTTTGTCCACATGAAAAAATTGTACTTATGTTTAAATTACCCAATAGGCTACAAGGTGTAAATAGTGCCTGATATTTATTATATCCCTTAATCTATCGATATTTTGAAATGATCAAATTTCTGCGCAGTAAGATATGTTGGAAAGCCAAACCCATGTCAGCGGGGCGTACTTCCTTTTCCTTGGGACTGGGTGTCATTTCTTACCGTTCAGATTATTCAGGCCCGTCAGGCGCCTTCCGAGCTCTTCAGCAGGATGAGGAGGGGTGGCCTGACAGCGGGACCCCTGCTGGGTCTCCTTGCGGAAGTGACCAGCCACGCCTCTGGGACCCCCCCCCCACCTGTGAGCAGCCTCCCTGGGCCGGCCGGAAGGAGGATACCTACTTGAAGCGAACCTTCTCATCCATGTCCAGGGGAGGCTCGTGGGTGATCAGCTGGACCAGCTCCTCCATGCAGGGCTGCTGGCAGAGGAAGTCCACCAGCTTCCGGTTCTGGGCTTTGCACTCCTGCAGGACGTCATCTTCGTCCATCACCTCGCGCAGAGTCACATCCTCTTTCTCCAGCAGTTTGTCGACGTGGGACGTTGTGTTCAGATCAAACTTCCAAAACATGATGGGGGTGCACTCCTACAGCTACCTGCCGGGGGGGGGAGGAGAGGACACGCCACAATCACTGCTCTGCCAACACCAACACATTCCCTGCATTCCGCTTCTTTCTGGCTCGCTGTTTCTCACAGGAAAAGTACTTTCCAGAAAAGTTGGATAACGGACGGATTTATCCTTGGGAAAACTCCTTCTCTGGCTAATTGGGCAGGAACCCAGAGCGCCCCCGTCTCTGATTACTGAGAACAAACCAGCTGGGGGTTTAAGACAGGAACCCCTAGAAAATCAGGGCTGCTGAGAGGGGCCCCTGGCCAGTAAGGGAAGCCCAATTGCCCAGCTTTCAGGCATCTATTGCAAATGCTCCACCGCCCTTAGAACCAAGGCCTGATGGCGCTGGGGAGGCAGAATGTGACCCTGCCCCCCCCTGCAGATCACAGACAGCGGTCCCCTTTTCACACAGAGGATGGAGTTTTCTCTACAACCCGGTTCAAGCCTGTCACTTGAAATACGCATGGAAAATCAGGCAAGGTTTCTTTATTGCCCGGAGGCGTATGCGGTTTTGCTCTGCAGATCCAAGATCACTAAACAGCAGTCAAGAGATTCCTTCTTACTCTTTCATTGAATGGTTATTATTTGCATGCAAAATAATTTAAGATGGACTTCTCCTACCAATTCAACACATTTTTGAGCGGTTTAGAATAAAAAAGCACTGAAAGATATTCTGGGACAGCGCTCACTTCCAAATCTACTAAAGTTTTTGCACTTTGACAACCATGGCACAAAATAAGATGTTGTACAACTAGAAAAGATCACAAATTACAATCAAGTTGACCAGGGAAATAGAGAGCTTTCTCTCAGAGCAAGGGTCCCCAACCCCCAGTCCGTGGACCGGTACCGGGCAGCAGCATGCCAGCAACCGGGCCGCACAAACAAGCAAAGCCCCATCCGTGGGATGCAGGCAGCACACAAAACGGTACGGTAAGAATTTAAATTCTTTTTCTACTTTTCTTTCTTGATATAAATGAATTTTGACTGCTGTTCTAATATAAACTATTTATAGTCTTTTTAATCACGATAGGTACAACCTAATAGAGGAAGAGGTTAAGGGGCAGCGGGCTAGAAAGCTGGAGGCTGCTTCAGACAGCCATAATCCCTCAGCCCACCTCACAGGGTTATTGTTGTAGGGAAAATAGGAGGAAGATATATTGGATAGGCTTGCCCCTTTGAAGTTATTTGTAAAAATAATAAAGACAGGACATAAATAAAACAGCATTCCGCGTGCCTTGGCGTATAGCCATGCCAGCCACATGACCACGGAAATGTCTTCGGACAACGTGGCTCCCTCAGCCAAGAAACGGAGACGAGCTCCGCCCTCCAGAGCCAGACGCAACTGGAGAGGGGAAACCTTTATATCCATAAATCTGCTCTTGAGAGAAAACCAAGAATAATAATTAGGGGATTAGGAACCAAACCCTACATAAACGTTTAAACTTACGAAGGCTAACATGGAGTTAGATTAGCTCTCTTGAAATACCTGGAAGGACATAAAACAGGCCAGGCCCTATTTTCTGTTCTTCTAAAGCAGGGGCCTCCAACCTTTCCGGGCTCCAGGACCGGAGGGAAGGATAGCAGCTTCAAAATTGGTGTGTGCACGCGCATACACGCGCGAGTGACAACACACACATTGGTGCAGCACTAGCAGCCGCATTCGCAAATGTGCCATGCGCTGGTGCATGCGCAAACGGGCCACGCAAACTGCCTGGGCTAGCGGCGCAGACGCAAACGGGTTGTGGACATCCGCCCTGTGCTAGTATTCCTGTTTGCGCCCGCGTGCATGCGCAAACAGGGCCACGGGTGCTAGTGTGAGTAGGGGAGAAATGCGCACCCACGCGTGCACGCACCGGCCAGCCGTTTCTGTGGCCCGCTGGCCAAGAGCCCACAGCCTGGGCCCGGGTCGCGGACCATAGGTTGGGGACCCCTGTTCTAAAGTACAGGACAAGGAATAATGGATTTGAGTCACAAGGATGCAATTTTCCAATCAAACATTTGACAAAAGGTTAAAGGCAGGAATTCCTCAAAAGCGGAATCCCATCAGCTGTGTAAAGCTGAGGCGAGGCAGCCACCTGTCAGGGTGCTTTTATTTCGATTTCCAGTTAGTTGACCTGGATGCTTAATGGGCTTCTCAGAGTTGGGAAAGAAGGTGGTTTACAGAGCATCCAGACGGCCACCTCCCCAGTGCATCAAGGGACCCTTCACAATCCGAGAGATAAAGGCCTTGCTGGAGCACCGATAAATCTGCCTCAGGAGGACTCTGAAAGATCTGGCGGTTTTGTAGAAGCTTAGGTCACCCTTCCAATGTCTCCTGCTCTCCCCCCCCCCCCCCCCCCCCCCCCCCCNTCCCCCCCCCCCCCCCCCCCCCCCCGTTCCACAGTCATTTCACAGAATCAGGCATACTCTTAATGTTCAATTAAACAATGGAGAGCAGATGTACCCAAGTCTGCAGAGAACGAAACACAATGGGGAATGGTTTGTAAATAAAGTTTATGACTAACATTATGGGTATAAATGCAGGCAACTGCAGCATAGTCTGCAAACTAGGATTAACAAAACCATGTCTTAATTTGGCATGAGAACACGGCTATAAAATAATATATTCTCTTGTCTGGTGGCTTAAAAACAGACTCTCTACTGGCAAAGAATGTATGAATCACCAGCAAAGGATTTTGGACCCAGCACCTATTCCTCCTTTGGTGCTTGAGTTATGGCTGCCCTGCAGGTAGCATCCTCCAGCCTGCCGATCTCCCTGCCTCTCTCCATTGCCAGCTCCCAGCCAATTAGGCAGCTATCAGCCATGGCTTCCCAGTTTAAAAAAAAAGGGGGGGAAGGGAGAGACATTTAACATTTAAATGATCTGTTGTTTCCAGGACTCATCCCTTTAAAATTATACCCAGTCAGAGCTCATTCTGAATGTTGATGTCTTCCAAACCATTTATATGTGCACTGGCAAAATTTGACTTGCAAATAATAGTAATAACAACAACAGAGTTGGAAGGGACCTTGGAGGTCTTCAACCCCCTGCTCAGGCAGGAAACCCTATACCATTTCAGACAAATGGCTGTCCAGTCCCTTCTTGAAACCTTCCAGGGTTGGAGCATCCACAGCTTCTGGAGGCAGGTTGTTGAATTTCATTCATTCGTGCCTGCATGCATTGAGGGGTCCCTGGTGCTCTCTGAGCTTGCTGGTTTTCTTGCAGATGTTTCATTACCCAAACTCAGTAACATCATCAGTCAGTCACTAGCCCTGATGAAGTTACCTAGTTTGGGTAAATGAAACGTCTGCAAGAAAACAAGCAAGCTCAGAGGGCACCAAGGACCCCTCATGTCACCCCTGAGCTACAAATATTCTTCTTGACTGACTGATTCACTCACTCACTCACTCATTCTATATGGCCACCCACTTTCCAAGCCACTCTGGAAATAAGACTTAAAATATACATAAAGATAAATTATAAATATAAAGCCTACTAAAACCAATCTTTATTATCTCCAAGATTCTTTTTTTAATCTGAAAATTGTAAGATGAAATTGATTAACAATGGAAGTCTTGTTTTGTAATGTAGCAATATTTATTTATCAATCAAATTTCTAGGTTGTCCAACTTCAAATGACTCCGGGTGGCTTAGCGTATAGAAAAACTAGAAAGTCAACATTAAAACCCAGCAGATAACATCCCTTGAAAAGGAACGCCACTAGCAGAGACAAAAGCAAGGCAACAGAGTCGCACAACCACACTAACTCAAGGAAGGCTTGGGAAACAGCCATGACTGTCCTGCTCTTTCAAGGGCCAGAAAGCCCCCGGGAGGCCTCTGTTCCACAGGGCAGGCCCAATGGCAGAGAAATTACTGGGGGGGGGGGGGGGAGGAGAAAAAGACGCATCACGTGACCATGACTTGCAACCTCCCCCACCGGCTGCTCGCAGGAAGCCAGCTGGGAAGGGGCTCAGCGGTCGCTGCAAACAGGTCAGGCTGCAACACCTCTTTAAGAGGCTGGGTCTGCAGGTGTTCCCCCCCCCTTTTTTTTTAGCACCGCTGTACCTTCCAACAACAAAGGGTCCCAGGTCAAGGGCTATTTGTAGGAGGAGGGGACTGTGGGGTTATTTGGGGGGGGCGGAAACAGTATTATGGTTTGCAACTGCTGCAAAGAAGATCAGAGGACACTTCTTTAATTAGGCGCTGACTAAAAAACTAATAAAGAGTCCTAAAGTAATGCTTAATTAATGGTATTGTCCAAGCAAACATAACCTGCCTTTTTCAGGCATATCCAGAGATATTTCTTAAAAAATTACAATTGATAAGAGCTTCGGGATATAGGTGTTTAAAATATTTTCTATTTCTTTCAATCAGCGGTCCCCAACATTTTGGGCACCAAGGACCGGTTCTGGGGAGAGAGGTTTTTCCACAGACCGGAGGGGGCCTGGTTTTGTGTGCCGCCTGCATCCCGTGGATGGGGCTTTGCTTGTTTGTGCGGACCGGTTGCTGGCATGCCACGGACCGGTACTATTCCACGGACCGGGGGTTGGAGAGCCCTGCTTTAAATTACACATGGATCAAATGTATGCCTTATGCTTTTTTTGCTTTCCTTCTCTTATTACCGTATATCCTTTTTCTCATTACTGATGTACCTTTGTCCCTCTAGGGCACAGGTATCAAACTCGCTGTGTCACGTGACACGTCACGACATACCGCAACTTTTGCATTGCCGGAGCTGGGGTGGGCGCGGCCTCCGCATGATGCACCCCTGCTCAAGAGACAAAATCAGTTTCTCATTTAGGCTGAAAAGAAATCCCAGTGAAGCTTGAGACCCTTTGATTTTTCTGTTTCAAAGCTGCCTCTGGCAAGCCACAAACAGACCTAATGGAAGTTCTAAATTCTATCCAGCCTAAGAAAACAAAGCAGGCAACGCCACTCCTTTATGGCGGTCTTGGTTACCAGGCCCAGCATTTAAAAAGCC